CCAACCAAAACAAAAAACCGCACATATATACATGCACAAGGTCATCATCATCATCATCATCATCATCATCATCATCATCATCATCGTCATCATCATCATCGTCATCATCATCATCATCATCATTTAATGCCAACATAAAAAATATGACATGGGGCATAGGAAAAAGGAAAAAAACAACCTTAATGGCACCCGAATAAGTCTGTTTGCGGCGGAAAACTATACTTCACTGCAACATTTTAGCAGCTCTCGGGAATTATTTGAAATCTTTATCCTCGACTGGATATCACAACCACCTGCGCTGTTCTTACAATGTGCATATCAAGAGTATAGTTTATTATAACACAAACACACACTTCGGAGTCCATCTCTTACAAAAGTAAAAGTATCCATACTCCTGAGTAGGGAACACTGAAGTCTAGGTACTTGGTACATCCTTTTGAGAATACATCGTAGCCTTTTTAGAAGTTAGATTTATTACCTTGTTTTATATCCTCATCTTCCGTCTCTCCTACTTTTTGAAATGCACCAGACGCCCCCCCACAACAACAACAACAACAACAACAACAACAACAACAACAACAACAACAACAACAACAACAATAAAGCTATGTAATAAAAATCTCTATGTTTTAAGCCCCGAATTAGTACTGTGTAGTACACTGTGGAAGCGAAGTATTCGGCCCTGTCTGTAGAGTTGTGTGAGGCAGGCTACAGTCTCACAGCAGTAAGACGGGGCCCGGAATTCTGTCTCTTGCAGGAAAAACGAAGAAGTTTTTTTCTTTACACACGCGAATCCAGACCGGAGTCTGTGCTGAAGCAGTTCGGCGATTAGCCACCGCACGTTGAAGACATGAGTTCAATTCTCGAGAGGGAAGAGTTTTCACCGCGTTTCTCAGCCTGTCTTGCTAGAATATTGCCTCCCTCCCAACCTGGGATAGCTGTGACAGGCAGGGTCGCAGCAGCCTGCCTCCAAAATGGTCTAAAGTGTGTTGATGGGAGCGTAGAATATATGGTTGCTTTCAAGGACAAACAGGCTAACCCAGATTTCGGAGGTTTCCAGAAATCTTGACCTTCACCAAAAGTGGGCATTGCCCTACCTATAGGAGGAGTTTGGTTTCATTAGAGTGTATTTGTTTGGTTATAAAGAAAACTCTCCTTGTCTTTAAAAGAAACCGAAAAAGGGGCCAAAACTTTACCTTCGATTTTCTCAAAACAGCGTTTTTCGGGATATCCCCGTTGTGCTTAAAAGCGACCATATCTACAAAGTATATGTATTAGAGACACCAGAGTTGAATCTCTTTTTGTGAACCACCTCTTCACACGTCACGACACTCGTTAAAACATCAGATCTTATCTCAAATAAATCAATTAGTTCACCCTAGTATGTTCAGACGGGAGCGCCCGAGAAACCACCCGAGGCAAAATATTTAGGTTTTCGTCGCCAGCTTTCATCGGTTGTGACGTATATTCGGACATGCGCAGACCACATATTTGCCCAATTTTTCCCTGATTTTTCGATCTAAGGATCAACAACACACTTCCGACTTTCTTGTCGCGACGTCAAAGTTTTCCGTCACCAGCAAACGTGTGCACGGACGAGCGAGTTGCTTCGATATGCTTACTCGCATATCCAGGAGTAAAAGAACAAAATAAATTTGACGTGAGTACAGCGCATTGTATTTCTTTGCCATTAGTATTTTTGTGAAAGAAAACCAACTTTTTATAAACCATAAGCCAAATTTTCAAATAGTTGTAAACAATGTAGAGGTCCATTTATCGCTATCTTTGTTTTTGTTTTGGTAAGTTTTTACGGCGCTCGCAACTGCGTACGGTCGTATGAGGGCGCGGTACACAAATGAGTTGCTTTCACATTACGCATTTCCAGTTTTGGTAGGAATATTAATTTTGAATTTTGCCCAAGAGGCGGCAGAAGCCTATTCTTATCGAATTTTAGGAACACTAAAGGATCCTTAACGTGTGCAGCTTGCACACGAGTCCCCCGAGATTTTGTACTCCTCACCCGAGAAGGCTATTGTGCCTACCCTAAGCTCAGGGGTGTGGCTGAAAGACAGCAGTAGGGAGCCTGGAGCAACAGGAAAGAGTCAGGAGCCCAGAGGAGGGAGGGTGGGGTGGGGGTGG